TCCTCCCCTGAAAACAAAAACACATAGAACAACAACAAAAGATCTTACATCAGTCCTCAGGTCTTCCATCCATAACTTCTCTGAATCATGACTTATTTGCTCTATGAAGTGTCTGACAGTTCAAGAAATCTCAGATTAACTGAGCTGATAAAACACTTTATTTGTTCAATGTTTTTTTGATGAAGTTACACCATGACATTCCTACAATACCAATTAGAACATCTGTAACACCCAGTGTGAGCATCCATGGAGAGAATGTGTACCGGCAGAAGTAGTAAACAGAATGGTAAAGATGCCATTCATGTGACATCTTCAAGTTTCCAGTAACTGCAATATTAAGGGTAATATGCCAAGATGTAAGAAAACCATGTAGAACTCACACAATCCACCAAGTAAAGGAGATTAATGTTTGCCAAAATCTATCTCTTAAAATCTATTAAAGCAAGAACTCAAGTCCCAGTGCTCTTTAAAGTATTCAGAAGAACCTTCCACAGAGGTAATTGAAAAAATACCTTTTGTCCACATACAATCCTCATCTCCTTTCCAAATAAAATAAATTCTGAAGCCAACTCAGCCTATGGCAATGCCTGAAGAATGATCTTGCTAGAAAAGTTAAAGAGACAAAAAATCTACAGATCTTTCCCACTTCAACTCTCCTGAAAAAACTAAAAAAAAACAAACAAAAAGACAGTGATTCAGAAAATCCTCCATTTAGAGTCCTTAAGGACTCCTATCACTGAGTCTTTCCAAGATAAACAATACCAGATTCTGCTCTTATCAAGCCAGTGTAGGAAAGCTATTTGCTGAGCACCAGCACATAATAGGTTTCAGGGAGGACAGTGGCTACTTAAAAATATCACTGCAGAAAATTCTCAGAACAATCTTGTAAGGTCTGCACTATTATCTCATTTCACAGCTTACAAAATGAAAAGTGAGGATGGGTTACTTCTTCCGATTACTGGCTGACCTTTCAAAACCATTTGCTGAAAATGTTCTTATCATTGACTTCACAACCACCTTGAAAGTTTCACAAAAGAATTATTGATGTGGCTTAATGGTAGAGCACTTGACTAACATTCATGAGGATCTGTGTTCGGTTCCTAGCCCTGCAAAAATGAAAGAGAGGGCCGGGGAGATGGCTCAGTCTATAAAGAGCTTGCTATGCAAGTATGAGGGACCTGAGTTTGATCTCTAGAACACACATTGTAAAAAAGCTGAGAACAGTGGCACACACTTGTAATCCCACTGCTGGGGAGGTAAAAATCAGTGTATCCCTGGCTGGCAAGCCTAGTTTACTTGATAAGCTTCAAGCCAGTAAGAGATTCAAAAAGGGGGTTGGGGCAGTGAACTGCCGAGATGATTCAGAGGGTAAAGGTGTTTGATAACCTGAGTTCAATCCCCAGAATCCATGTGAAGGTGGGAGGAGAGAACTGGCTTCACTAGGTTGTCCTCTGACTTACACACACACACACACACACACCAACATAGTAATAAATAAATCTTTTAAGTGAATGGTACCTAAGGAATGACACAAGAGGTTGTCTTCTGACCTCCACATACATGTGCACACATGTGCACATGCACCCATATACAAATGTGCACACCTCCCCCACACATACATACACAAAGAAAACCCAAAGGAGAAGCAGTCTATGCTGCTGATAAAATGAGAAACAAAAATGAGTTTAACAAAGTGAACTCATCTCACTGGTACTGGAACTTTCATGTCCTATAAGCCCTTTTAAAACTGAGATCCACAACATACTCTCAGGACCCCAGAGCCTCTGTACAAACATTCCTTTCTCTAATTCTTCTCACTCAACTTTGTCTTTCTTTTTCTGTTGAAAAAGTAAGGTACATACAGCTGAAATCTCTCCAGAGCTTTGGAAGACTAATTTGGAAGTGATATTGGCATCAAAAGTGTCCTTCATAGCACATTTCATTCCAAGTTCATGCTTCCTTTGAACGAAATAAGGCTCTTAAAACTTTCCTAGTGCTAAAACCACATAAGACAATAAAATGCAAAACTTATTTATTGGAATTCTTCAGAAAAAAATCAGGACCATTATTCTATCTACTTTTATCATTCATGCCAAGAAAATGGGCTTGCATAGAAAGTATAAGGGAAAAAAAAGAAAAATGAAAAAAACCTAAACAACAAGAAATTTGCATTCTAGGCCAGGCATGGTGGTGTATGCTTTTAATCCCAGTAGGCAGACAGATAGATCAAAGCCAGCCTTGCGGTCTGTCTACATAGCAAGTTCCAGGCCAGTGAGGAATATACAGTGAGACCCTGACTTTAAAAAAAAATCATTTTATCTTTTACCTGCCATTTCTGTGATAAATAGAAATTCATGTACTTATCTTGTAAGATTGTGTTGAGAAGACAATATGATAAAAACATTCTTGCAAAAATGGAGAAAGATGGGCTGGAGAGATGGCTCAGCGCTTAAGAGCACTGGCTACTCTTGCAGAGGATCTGGGTTCAATCCCAGAACCCACAGAGTGACTAACAACTGCCCATAACTCCAGGGGATCCAACGCCCTCTTCTGACCTCCATGGGCACTGCACAGCATGGGTGTACTTACATACATGCAGGCAATACACTCATACACATAAAATAAATAAAATATTTTTTAAAAGAATGGAGGAAGATAGAATTGTTTGAGTAAATAGCATAGTTTTCTGTCTACATAGTTTGCCCTTTGGGCCCTTACCAACTAAACGTCATCAGGAGGCGCTCTAGGGCTCGAGTTGTAGCTCAGTTGGTAAAGTGTTTGCCCAGCAAGCATAAAACCCTGGGTTTAGTCCTGAACCTGGCATAAGCCAGATGGGGTATGATGGTACACACCTATTATCTCAACACTCAAGAGAAAAGTTGCAACAGGGAGATCAGAAATTCAAGTGAGTTCGAGGTCATTCTGAGACACATGAGACCCTGTCTTTAAAGACCCTGTCTAAAAGAGGGAAAAAGAAACTTTTTAAAAAAATAAATATCGTCTTATAAAATTGGTACTTTTTTATTTTATTATTTTTTATTTCATGTGTATGAATGTATTGCCTGCATGTATGTGAGTGCACCCGTGTCGTGCAATGCTGTGCAATGCCGCGGTCAGAAGAGGGCTTCAGATTCTCCTGTAACTGGAGTTAAGGATGAGTTGTAGCCGCCATGTCAGTGCTGGGAATCAAACCCGAGTCCTCTGCAAGAGCGGTCAGTGCTCTTAGCCACTGAGCCATCTCTCCAGCCCCAAAGAAAGCTTTTTCAAAAACAAAACAAACATATATATACATACACATATATATACACATATATATATGTATATGTATATATTCATCTCTCAACTTGAAACCTTTCAAAGGCCACCCACTGCAAAGGGGCCAAATCCATACTCTTCACAAGGGAAAACCTCTCTCCACCCTGGGGCCTTTACAGCCCTGTGCCACATCACCCTTCCTCTTCAGTAATATATGCAACCAGCTGTGTCCCCAACACATTAAGTCTATGGCACAGAGATGACACATGCTATACCTTCAAAACTGAATGAATCAACTTTATTTGCTCATTGAAACCTTCCCCGGAGTTGCAGAAGAGTTAGGGTTAGGCTCTTTAAGTGAAGAGTCTACTATACTTACCACAAAAAGTTACCAGTGTCCCTATCAAATGCAAGGTCTTTCAAGGTGAAAACAGTCCATTCAGTGTCATGTTTTCAGTGCAGACATAAATTTGGAAAATGATATGGTGGATTAATAAATATTAACTGTTTAAACTGAAGTTATTCATGTATATATGACTATGTCACACATAAGTTTTTGCATTTTCTTTTTTTAAGATTATAAGAGGGGCTGCAAAGATAGCAGTCAATAATGTACAAATGGCAAATTACTTCATTCCTAGAGTAAGTAGACTTCCTTTTGTGAAATTATACAGGGATATAAGATGGCATAGTCTGAGAGAGAAACTGTGTTTAATTTATCCAAGTGTTTCTTAGCTACGGAAAGACAGAACTTACCCTCACTAAGGCTATTTGCCAAGCTACCTTGACCACACCCGATGCTCACTTGGAATACTTCAAATGTTCTAAGACCAAAGTCTGGAGTGGAAACTATGGAGCTTTCCCCAGCGAGACTGTAAAACACAAGCAGACAGTCTCCTACAAACCAGGACACATGTAAACTGGAACCTCGAGGGGAACTTGGCAAATGGGAGTGGAAACTATGGAGCTTTCCCCAGCGAGACTGTAAAACACAAGCAGTCTCCTACAAACCAGGACACATGTAAACTGGAACCTCGAGGGGAACTTGGCAAATGCTACCAAGTGCTTTATTAAAAAGTGCACCCTGGGCCTGAAAAGATGGTTGGGAAGTTCAGAGCATTTGCTGCTCTTGCATATGACCAGGTCGGATTCCCAGTACCACATGGCAGCTAACAACCATCACTTCCAGGGGAACTGATGCCCTCTTCTGACCTCCTCTGACCTCCACAGGCATTGCACAACAGGAGTACACTTACATACATGCAAGCAATTCACTCATACACATAAAAAATAAATAAAAATAATAAAATGTTAAAAAAGAAAAAACTGGAAATGTACATACAAAAATGTTAAGCAATAATAAGAAAATAAGCAGTTGTCCCTTTTAAAATTTCCTGAATTTTCCAATTTTTTCCTTCAATGAATGTATCTTTAAAAATATTTGTATTCTTACAAGTAATTCTAGAGATGAACTATAAGTGGCCTTAATTCCTCCAGGTCTTTGGTATCTGCCAAAATCCCTCTCAGTACATTTCTCTGAGATTTCCTTAACAAAGTGACTACCTGGAGGAGCCTCAGAAACAGAAAACAATGAAATTCCTTTCTGAGCCCCCTGGGCTCAGGATTCACCAAAGGAAGCATCGGGTCCCACAGGAGAGGGGACGAGTAAGAAACTCCTGGATTCCTGCTCAAAATTCAAGCCCATTCCTTCAATTTGCTTAGCTGCAGGGTATCCCCTCACTTACCTCTTCGGAGGGCGCAGCCCCGCGTCTGACCTCCTCGTAGGCGCCCACCTGCTCCCAGGTGGCCAGGAAGGCATGGGTGGGGGTGAAGCTGGCGGCCGAGCGCGGGAAGCCAGTGCGAACATAGCGGGCCGCCAGACTCAGCAGAGCTGGGGAGGTGTCTTCGCGGTACAGGACCCGGCCCCTGCCGCGGCTCGTGTCTATGTCAGCCAGGAAGGGGGCGATGGCTGGAAAGTCAGTGGGGAAATCATCGTCCACATATTGTGTCTCCCTAGGGAAGTCCTGGGTGGAGATGATGCCATTGGTGCCCACCTGCAGGAAAGACAAAACAGCCTGTGAGATGGCTCAGCGGGTAAAGACACTTGCGCCAAGCCTGACCAACTGAGTTCGATCCCCAGGCCACAGTTGGTGGAAGGAGAATCAATCAACCCTTACAAGTTGTCTTCTGGCCTCCACAAGTGCACCGTGGCACGTGCGCGTGTACACACACACACACACGCGCGCGCAACTGAGTTCGATCCCCAGGCCACAGTTGGTGGAAGGAGAATCAATCAACTCTTACAAGTTGTCTTCTGACCTCCACAAGTGCACCGTGGCACGTGCGCGTGTATACACACACACACACACACACACACACACACACACTCGCGCGCGCGCGCGTGCGCGCATCTTTTAAAAAGTCAAATTGGTGATGGACGATCAAGCCCAAGAGCCTCCACCACAGTCATTCTCGCCCACCCCGCCCCACTGGCAGACAAGCAGTCGTAAAGCCTGCCCTTCCACACCGGTTGGGAGAGCATCAGGTTCAGGGCAACCAGCGCAACGTAAGCGACCCCCTAGTCCTACTCTACAGTGCTTCGCGATCTATAGGTGTGGGCGCCCTAGAACTCATCCACCTTCCCACCACTGCATGCCTAGGGCGCCAGGTCCCGAGGGAAAGAGCCTCCTAGCAACTCTGCAGGGGTGCACCGCCCTAACTGCAAACCCCTCGGGCCTCCTCAACTACCCCACCTTCCTTCCTGCCCGGGATGCAAAAGTGGCGGAGAGTGAACAGCCCTTGCTCTCCGGCTCCGGATGATCCCTATTCCTCCACAGCAAGGGTCACGCGGCTGCACCATCCCTGCGAAGCTGCGTCCCCTAGGGAGAGCGACTATTTCCTCCTCTCCAGGGACCCCTGGGAAGAAACTTCGGCGACCGGGGCTGGGCCGCGCACCGCAGGAGGCTGAACTTACGAAGAGGTCGCTGAACTGGGCATCATAGAAGCGCAGCGGGATGGCCAGCCTCACGGCGGCTGAGCTTTCGTCGTCGCCCTCCAGCACCTTCTGGTCGCCCTGCGACTCCCCGAAAGGGAAGAGCTCGTCCGGGCGCAGCGCCGCGGTCCGCGACAGCAGTATCAGCAGCATCAGCAGCCTCGGTAGCGGCGGCGATGGCAGCGCTGGCCGCCTGGCTGTCGGGTCCCGCGGCATGCTCGCTCGGCCCGGGCTGCCCACCACGCAGCGCGTCCCCTGCCCGCCCGCCAGCCAGCCAGCCAGCCAGTCCCCTCTGGCCGCTGGTCTCCAGCCGGGACCCCGCGGACCCAAACCCCGGCCCGCCCAGCGCGCCGATTGGCTGCGTCCCATGGCCAGGAACCAATCAGCGGCTCTAGAGGATTCGCCAGCGCCCACCACATCTGGTTCTCGTTACTTTTCCTAAGGCTGCAGTGGTTCGCGGGAGCTACGGGCCTGGGGACACGAAGCCTTTGGCTCTGGCGGGCTGGGGCCGCTCCCCGGTTGTCCCCTGGATGTCTCCCGCCCTCCCACTGGACCGCGATGCTTCAGGAGGGGACCTCGGTGCCCACGGGGGACCCCCGGCGCGCGTGCAGCTGCATGCTGCAAGGACTGCGCGTGGGGCTAGCAGAGCTACAGAGGGTGATGGGGCTACACAGTGAGCTTCGCACCCTGCCCAGGGTTCCCGGCCACCCCTGGTCCTGGAGGCCAGGCCCTGGGAAAGATACTCAAAGGAGCTTTGTCGCCTTCCCCAGGGCTGCTCCACCCCACCCGGACTCCCTACGGAGAAGCGCGCCTTTGTAGAAGGCTGACTCCCAAGTTCTGCGCTGGGCGCTGGGCGGGTGGCTGGGAGGACTGGGCCACCCTCAGAAATGCCCGCCCCAGCTGTTTACCTTCCCTAGGGAAAACCTCCGGGGCAGACGGTGAATTCGACTGTGATCCGCTACGACTGAAGCGTGGAGTGAGGTGTCCCTTTTGGGCACCAAGCTGAAATGAGCCAGGCGCCGTTGTGGGAGGATCTGGTGTTTCTCCCATACAACCGTAGGAACGAGAGGCCACCGAGTCTGTAACCCGAGCTGCCCTGCAGGACTGGAACCCGCACAACCTGGAAAGCAGCTGAGCGGGTGTGGGGACCCCACCCCCCACCACCACCATAAACATCCCCTTTGCAAAGCCTCAGGAGCCGGACGAGATTTTATTACAATTTTATTATCAAGAGCTTGAAATTTCCCACAGCCTGTTTTCTCTCTCAGCACCGCTCCGCCTCCTATAGAATCCTTAGAAGCAAAGGTATTTTTTTTTTAAAGCAAAAACAAACCCTTGGAAGTGCCTTAAGGGACTTTTTTCACAAGACAGATTTCTCTTTGTTGGTGTTTATCCCAGTTACGTAGCCTTTACAGGCCCGAAGAACCAAACTCTTAAAAACCCTGAAGACTTTGGCCTTAAGATTCAGAATCATCAGAAAATGGAAAAGGCCCAAAGCAGTTTTCCCCAAACTAGAGTTTTTGTTTTCTCTTACAAAAAAAAAAAAGGTATTTATGGAGCTGGAGAGATGGCTCAGCAGTTACTGACTGCTCTTGCAGAGGACTCGGGCTCAATTCCCAGCACCCACATGGCAGCTACATCCATCCTTAACTCCAGTTCCAGGGCAATCCAAAGCCCTCTTCTGACCTCTGCAGCATAGCACAACACGGCTGCACTCACATACATGCAGGCAATACACTCATACACATAAAAATAAAATACAGTTTTAAAAAGTATTTATGCTTGCACATATTTTTCTCATTTTCCCCCCCTGGGGTCAAGTATATACATTTTGCTGAGGATGAAATGATGGCTCAAAGACTTGAAGTGACTTGGTTTGTCCAAGGTCACCTTAAATCACTGCCCCTCCCCCCTGTAAATTCCTTCACAGACACCTTAATCTCTCAATTTAGCATAATAAGAGCTAACATTGATTGGTGGCCTATGCTATAAATTAGTGACTAAGCAGACTAGGTGGAATCCCCAGAGCTTAATTTCCTGGTGCATTAGTCCCACCAGAGGGTTGTAGGCTGGCCTGTGACTTCTAACCAACAGAGTGTGGCCCCAGTGATGAGAATGCACTTCAGTGACTAGGCCCCTAAGACTCTGACTTCGGTCTTGCGGTAGACCCTCTCATTGATTTCAGACCCTCTCACTGATTTTGAGGAAGCCAGTTGCTGAGTTAGGAAGGTATATATAGTAAGGAGCTGTAGGCAGCCTCTGGCCAACAGTCAGAAAGGAACCAGATTCTGCCAAGAGGCTGTAAGTGAGCTTGTGGAGTTTTGAGATGACACCACTGTAGCCCTGACTGACTCTTTGAGTGCAGTCTTGTGAGAGAACCTGAAACAAAAAAGCCTTTTAAGCCAGGCCTTGATTCCTGATCCATAAAAACTCTTAAGAATTATAAATAGATGTAGTTTCTAGCTATTACATTTGAAGATAGTTTGCTATGCAACAATAGGTAACTGAAACATCTAGTTGCTATACCAAGGAAGTTAAAGCTTGGAAGGTTGTTTTTGTTTTAATCAGTTATCTCTATATGACTGGTGTGTATCAGAGCCGAGATTTGAACCCAGCTCTGACTAATCTCTAAGTGTCTACTGTCAACAAGACATATGCATTGCTGCAACTTTGCATGTTAGCTTAGCTCGCTTCTTTAGTTTCATCACTTGCTGTGGCCAGCCTTCAGCTCTCAAATGCCACATCCTATTTTACAATGTAGGACATATTCACGGATTGGTCCTGTTACCTACAGTGAGATTTTCCAATCAGTTTTTAAATAACACCCACTCATCCTTCAAGACATGAAGCTGTACCCTCCCTCCTTCCCGAAGCTTTCCTGGAAACCACAGCCTGATTGAGAAGCCCCCTCTTGCTTCCCACCTGCCCTGCCGTGTGCTTACCATGATCTTGTCTCCTCCCACAGATATCTCCTATAATCCCCTTAACCATCATGAATGCTCTGTGAGAACAAAGGGGTTGTCTTACTCAGTGCCTGTCACAATGCCTGTTCAACACATCTGAAATTTAAGAAGTATTTGTTGAATGGATGAAAGCAAGCAAGCCAGCCTGGGACTAGGACCCAGATTGCTGGCTCACAACAACATTCCTTCCCCTCCACCACCTTTTCTGCTAATCTGACCTAATTTATAATCCTCTTTACCAGGCTGCTTAGCAACTCACCTACCACTGTTCTCCAGTTTTCATTTTTCTTTCATCTATTAGTCAAGTATTCCTGCAAGCTTACCATGACAAACAAGAAATAAAGGTGGGCATGACCTGGCCCTTGATTTTAAAGGCTCGTGATCAGGTTTGGGAAACAAAGCATAAATAAGGTTATACAGTGAAGTATGTGTTTAACAGAAAAACAGACAAAGGGGGCCTTTGAATCAAAAGATGGCAATAGTTTTGAGTCTCTTGACCAGGAAGAGGATTCAGTAGAGAAAAGGCTGAAAAGAGCAATCTAGTTGCCCTAAATTCTTGAACTATGAGGCTTTGGACAGCTGTGCTTAAGCAGACATTCCTTGGAGCTTTTATTCTAACATTAGTTTTAAATAACTCTGTGGCACCCAAAGAGTGGTTTCTCCTTTAAAATGTCACTTTGTGTCTTAGGGAAAAGAAAAACTGTCATAAAAGCTGTTTCACTAGTCAAAATAAATATTGAATACCTCTCTTGTACCTACAGCTCCCTTTGCAAGAGTAGAGTTTCCATGACCTGCATGGCTGGCTGAAGAGGCAGAGGCCCCTTTCAAGCCGAGGTTATTGAGGACTTCTGTAGGAGTTTTTAGCCCTCTAAGGTAGGGTCCTCACAGTAAGCTGAACATTGCTTGAAAAGTGAGATTGCTTCAATACAAGACTTTCCTTCACAAGCCAAAGATGCTACCAGATGCCATGCCTTCCCGATAGACCTCAGAGGAATCTCCACAGTTCTATTTTATATGGTATTCTGTTATGAACACCAAGACTTCAAGCATGATGATATTCCTGTTATTTTAATCAGGAGAATAAAAGCACATTTGCTCCACAGTGTGGCAGATAGATGGAGGTATTCAAGAGCATGTTCTATGTATAGAACAGACTGGTGTGTGTGTGTTTGTGTTGGAGGTGGGCTTAGAAGAAAACATCCCAGTTTGTATTGTACTCAGGGATTCTTTGCATAACTTTATTATCCATTAAATTCCAAGGCGGGTGTGCTAGCATGTGAAAGAACAGAGTTGGGTATATTAGCATGCCTTCCCATCTCAGGCTTAAGTGAAGCGATGCTAGGTCTGAGACATACCATAGAGTAAGAGAGCATTTGAACTAAAATGTACAGTATGAAAAGACTCAGAGTTTTGCCGTCTCTTGTTTTCTTTTCTTTTTAAATTTTATGTCTCTGAGTGGTTTGCCCACATGTATGTAAGTGCACTACATGCATGAAGTGCCCACAGAAGCCAGAAGAGGGCGTCAGATTCCCCCAGAACTGGAGTTACAGAGGATTGCTAGCCATCACGTGGGTACTGGCAGCCAGCGCTCTTAGACACTGAACCATCTCTCCAGCCCCAAGTCTGGCAATCTCTGGATATGAGTTACTGAAGATGTAATTTTGCCATGATTTTTAATATGGAGAGAGTTGGTGGTGGACATTCAGATGCTTTCCCAACCTCCCTCTTTTATTCTTTGAACTCAGAGATCCCCATATTGTTCAGGTTCAGGGTACAGCGAGCCTAGGAATGGTGCCCTCTTCCCTCAGTTCTAGCAAGTTCTTGCAGATGAATTAAAATTGATCAGACAGTTATGATTCCAGTCACCCCCTGTTCTTCTGCACCACATGTTCCTTGGATGCCTGAAATGGGAGTTATGACTTTCAATATGCTTTAATAAGACATCTTTTAAAAAAACTATGCCTCGTGAGTGCCTTTCCCCTTTCCTGTGACAGTCTCCTGTATCTTCAACCTTTCCCTCTCTGGTGGCCTTTTCTCTCCGCCTCTAAATACATCACACTTTTAACCATTAATTTGTTTTCTCTACTTCTGACTGACCCAGTTTTATTTCTCTGTATTTCAAGAACCTCCACTTAGAAGAAACTTAAACTTGCTGGCTACCCTCCTTTACTCTACTGGGTAAAAGGTCTCCACCACTAGACTGCTCAGCTGAAAACCAACAGTGAAATTGTGTGACCAAATCTTACAGACATTTTCAGACTTTACCTTGTCAGACCTTTTTGGTATTTCTGGCCCCTTGGGACTCTCATTTTTAGAAATCCTCTGCTCCCATGACTTCTCCAGCTATCTCTTTGTAGTGTCTCCCTGCCTGCGCTGTCTAAAAGCATGCCATCAAGATGGCCTACTGCCCTTCTCTCTTTG